TTTAATAACACACATTTTGAGTCAATGACATGATGAGAAATAACAGCAAAAGATTTCAGGCTTTTATCTTTAATAGTTCCTGAAATATTTTTCCTCAAACAGCCTCAAATTTTTCTGAAACGTGCAGAAAAAGAGGTCGTTGGACAATTTTAAAATCAATTATCTCTGCAAATATTCACCACATCAAGCTAAAATTTCACAGATGTCTTTTAAAATAATCATAGTTTATGATAAAAAAGTTTCAAGCAAATCGGAGAACCCTGAGCAGATGATTTGAGACGGAACAACCCATCTCCCCTCAGTTATTAACAGCATCATGCAGTACCTGCAGGTAGCCACCAGGTGGCGCAACACATCACCAATTCTACTGACTGTAGCCACTTCAGAGTGAAAACATGGGAGCAAAGGGGATTAAAACTTAGCACACAGAGACGAGAGCAGAGCCAGCAACTTGGAGGACTCCGAATAAGCTCTGAAGCACCTGAACTCGGCGCAGAATACAAAAAAAAAAAAAAAAAAAGAAATCGGGCCTGGAAGTTTGTGAAGGCAAAAAACCCAGAAGACAGACGACAGACAGGACGGACGGACGGACGGACTGAGGGACAGATGGACAGAGACATGGAGGAGGAAGACCAGTCAGGATAGCCCACCGGTTACTGTTGTAGGAGGGAATGTGGCCGCCACTCACAGCCACACTTTTGTTGTTGTTGGCTTTAACATTGTGTAGGAAGAAGAAGGAGAGAAGGCAGATTAACGAGGAGATCAGAAAACACAAGCAGAACTATTAAAACACAGCAGGAGGCCCGTGGACAGAGAGAAGAGCTGCTGCAGGAGTCGCTTTTACATCTGTTCATGTTGCATAAACCCAGTCGGTTTAATGTTGATTTCTATATGAACTGTTCTACTTTTTTTGTGCTATTTTTCCAACATTTCAGACGGTAAAGTGGTTAAAAAATGTCCTTCACAACTTCTAAAGTCCAAATTCTCAACTTTAAACTGCTTTTCTTGTCCGACCGACACTTAAAAAGATTGAATCTACAATAATATAAAACAGAAAAAACTGTAAAGTCTCATTTTGCCTCCATCTCTGTGCACACAGTCTTCATTTTATCTTTACTTTTAGCCTTGTTTTTGCTTTTATTCTTCTTGTCCTGCTTCTTTTATTG